AAAATTCATGTATCAAAAAATAAATAGGATTTCAAAATTTAATATTATATATTTTTATATTATTATTATTATTATAGATTACTTGTAATTGCATGCATGAGTCCCAGTATACATAGTCATAAAAAATTACTGACTGATTTTATCATTGTGTTATTTTTGCATTTTATCAAGTATTAAGAATGTACTAACTAGGGTCCACAAATTAGAGGAGAGAGTTATCCATGATAATGTTCTGACTTTGATCCGTGGTTATCTCCCTTTAACCTGCTCTCCGTTTTAAGTTTACTTTTTATCACATAAAGTTTAGTGAGGTGCAAGCAAATTTTCATTCTGTTAATGTGGCCCAGAGAAAAAAGTGTTGGGAACCACTAGCTTAATGTATGAAAAAAAGTGAATATTTTTTTAAAATATCTTTCCAAGATTTTCTTATATTTTGCAAATTTAAACTGTTATAATACTTGGTCACTTACATTATAAATGAGAGGAAAAATGTGATGTTGGTCATTTTTTATTAGTATTTATTGGTATTATTAACAATATGGATCAGAAGACAAAATATTGCAAAAAAAATTCTGTGAATTTGACCAAATTTTGTGTTGTAAGACCCCGGTATCCACTAAATATAAGTCATTTGATTTTTTAAAAAAGAGAGTGCCATATTAAACATGTCTGACACTACTAACATTTATTTTGACAAAATTACAATGACTTTCAAAGCAAAAAAAAAAAGAAAAACAGAAAAATCAAGTATCAAAGATAAATAAGGAAACATGTGCAAGTTTTGATTAACTTCAAATGATCATAACTTAAATACATGGAATTATGACAAAGTTAAATGATTTCTAAATTCTTCAGATTGTCTACTTTTGGACTAGATATAGCAAATTTGGTAAATGTTCCAAAAAGATGCCAAATGCATTCTTGTGAGCCCACTGTGTCTTGATTGATCTATTTTTCAGCATCTTTCAGGTGGATGAAAAAAAAAAAAAAAGTTACAAATTCTTTGTCTTAAAACAATTTTTCAGGAAAATAGGTTTTCAAGTCCAGTAGTTGTTATCACTCTTTCCAGGATTAATAGGAGTTTGCTTCTTAACCTTTTATTTGAAGTTGTGTGGTATGTCAACATCTAGATTATTATGTCATTATTTTCTCTTGAGTTAAATGTGATATCCATTTCAGTTGTTCTAGCAGCATTTAACAGCTAAAACACTAAACATGCTTTAATCAGAGAAACCATCTTATATACAGGTTTAATAATTTTATATATATATATATATATATATATATATATATATATGACATCAATAAAATCCTTATTAGTCTGAAGTCTTAAGGTGAATATAAGCTGATAGCAATCAAGAGTAGTGATAGGCTTGTGATATTATATCTGTGAGAAAGAGGCTGTAAAGAATGGGCAATATGAAAACTGGTCATTTTGCCACTAAAATGTGTGATATCTCCTTTTGGAGATGAAACATATTACATAAGATTTTTTTTTTTAGCATATATATATATATATATATATATATATATATATATATATATATATATATATATATATATAAAAAAAATATATCGAAAAAACAAACAAAAATCCTATATACAATTATGCCGTTTTAATGTTAATATGTCAACGTCGGAAAGTTTTATCTAATAAACCATCTTCAGGACATTTTCATAAGTTTGTTCTTATCAATACAACATGACTTTGTCATGTTGTATTGAAAATGTTATAAGAATATGAATATGTCCTTAAGATGGTTTATTAGACCGAAAACGTCCGACGTTGACATATTAACATTAAAAACGACATAATTGTATATAAGGATTTTTTGCTCATTTTTTTTTCCATATATTTTTTCTTCATACTGTCGGATCTATATCCATATATTTGCTTACATATATATATATATATATATATATATATATATATATATATATATATATGAAAGTTTATAAGTAAGCACATTAAATAATAAATATATAATAATAATCTTTCCCCCTCTTATGTGTGTGTGTATATATATATATATATATATATATATATATATATATATATATATATGTGTGTGTGTGTGTGTGTGACATCAATAAAATCCTTATCAGTCTGTAGAAGTTCCTTTTGGAGATGAAACATATTACTTAAGAATTTTTTCCATTTTATCAGTAAATATATATATATGAAAGTTTATAAGTAAGCACATTAAATAATAAATATATAATCATAATCTTTCCCCCTCTTATGTGTGTGCATATATATATATATATATATATATGTAGGAGAGAGCAATATAGAGAGAAACGTGAAAGCATTAATATTTTTGTTTTTCCATACTTTTCTTTCACCATTATCAAATGGATTTATACCTGTCTACTCACTGATTTGATACTTCATTCACGGCACCTACACAGAGCTATAAGCACCTACCTTTCCCTAGTGCTCAAAGACATTTTTAAAAGCCTCGGAGCCCTGCCCTCGATGCATTTGCAGACAGCCTGACTGTCCAAACCCATCAATATTTCCAAACGCTAGTTCAAGACAATGCCATTGTCTTAATGGGCCAAGCGGCATCCTCTTCTGCTTAAATGTGCAATATTTTCGTGATGTAATTTACATAGTAAATTCTTAAATTTCTTGTACAGGAAAATGCTTACAGGTCGACAGGAACCCTAACCCCTAACCTTCCAGCCCTGCTGAAATTCTGACAGATCTGTTGGGAGATGAAGAGGAGAGGGAGGTCTACACTATGCACATTCTACACTATGTCAGAATTTATTATACATGCCAATATGTTCACAATAAAATTGGTATCAACCAACAATCAATATTAATAAAATTTTTATGACAGACTTATTGTAAATATACCATTCACCCAATAAAAGGCCCGAGTGCCACTCGAGGAATATGGTTATTGAATGAAATGCATGAATATTATTATTAGGATATAAAGCATAGATAATGATCAACTAAGATTTTAGTATTCAAGGGAAGCATCCATGCTGGAGTTTATTCCACTGAATTATTTTTCTTCAGAAGAAGCTGAAAAGAACTTCCTTCTTACCAATGACATACAGGGGGAATGAGAGCGACATAACTCTATGAACATAGGAAGGTGAGTATGAGCTGATAGCAATCAAGAGTAGTGATAGGCTTGTGATATTATATTTGTGAGAAAGAGGCTGTAGGGCATTGGGCAACATGAAAACTGGTCATTTTGCCACCAAAAAATGTATTTTCTAAAGTATTTCTTCCTTTTTTAATACTAATCGCTCATGACCAACAGAATTCACATATTGAAAATAAATTTTTTATGTAAAATAGACATTTCCTCTTTATATATTTTGTTTGACTTTACACTTTGTTTCATTAAGCAGACCCAGTGGTCATCATCACGAAGAAATTTTTTTAGTGTCACTAGAATTTATTTTGAACACTTACTCAATGGCGAAAAGTACTTTAGCTAGTGCAATCATGTATAAAAGCAACCAAGTAATTGCAATCATTTTTCTTTAAAACTACATAACCAAAATTTTATTGCACTTTAAAAAAAAAATGCTGTTAATTCATATCAAATTAAAAACCTTTCATAGCAGATTTTCAACAGATTCAAAATGCATTCTTATGTTTTTTTGCTTTTAAATTTCTATTTCTGTTAATATTCTATTATGAATATGCTGGTAGCATAATGGTTATTGGTGAAAAAAATGAAATCTATGAGTTTAAATTCCAGCCTAGGCTGTTGTATTCACTTTCCCTTGGGGAAGGCATAGACCTACCTTTTTTTTTTCTCCCCAGCTACGGGTTAAATATGAGAGTAGATTGGTCTTTCTAGTCTTGAGCAGCAACTAGTCTATGTGAAGGAAAACTCTGAATTTCAAACTGTAGAGATAGCAGAGTTGGTTCCCATTACCAACTTTCCCAAGAAAACCTAACAATTCCCAGTGTGATATGGCTTCCCTCTGTCTTTTCTATAAATAATTTTCATCGTAATTATTCTCATGAGCTCTCTTCCAAACACCCCACAGACAAATTGTACATAAGGAAACTAGTTAGGAGTTCATAGAGTCCTTGAGGTATTATGGTGACTGTAGTAAGAATGGTAAGTAAGAATGTGTTGTTTTGGTCTAAGGAACAGTGTGATATGTTGAGGTCAGTAATCATGGCTAGCTAAGCTTAAGATCAGACATATTGAAGACCAGCCTTCCTCTAATTTTGGTCATGTTACATTTTTGGTATTTTTCAAAATAAATATTGCTACCTCAACTGCATGAATTTAAGCATACTACCAGATTGGCTACTAGTTCTCATCAATTTACTTTTGAAATAGCTAGATGTAGCTATTCTAATAGTTTCTTTTCTTCCCTGTGGAACTTTGTCCTGGCTTCTTGATTCCCTGCAACCTATGTTCATTAAAAATTTCAATTCAATGTCAATCACCATCATTTGTCTTACTGAAACCTGTTCTTTTATTACCCTTTCTCCTTGCTAAAGTCTTCTTTTTCACTTCCAGTAACTTCCTTGTATCTTAGTGGCATTATCACTTTACTTGGGATAAGTAAAAAAAAAAAAGAAAAGAAAACAAATCTGTAGAAAGACATTAACTTCATCCTGAAGAGATATGGTACTTAAAAGAAATTTATATTCTATTGTATTTTTATAACATATTAAAGTAATTCAAATTAATTTCTAATCTTTTCACAAGCCCTAAGCTCAATCCAATCACTTACTAAACAAATGCACCTCCATGTTTTTCCACTATTTTTTCTTTTTTTTTTTTCATCTAGTCTACATTTGTTTGTTGTTCTTCACAGCCAAAAGAAGAAATTTTATTTGCGTAGTGAAGTATTTTTGACATGAATAATGTAAACATCATCTTTTTCTTCTCTTTACACCAACATTATACACAATGCAAGAATACACACAGACAAGCCATGAACAAAAATGGTGACCGGAGTCCTGTATGGCTAACAAAAAACGCAAGACAGCAATAAAAATGATAATGTTCTTTTATCTATCTCCCACAGAAAATTTCCCTCCAGATAATTTATTTTTACTTTTTTCTCTTATATTCATCCATTTTTCTGTACATATGCATGAATGTATTGGAACTTAATTTTAAAAAAAAAAATAAAATGAGAAATAATTCAACAGATTTTCTAGAAAATACCTGCTTTGTTTTTGTTAATTTTTTTTTTTTATGACACAAAGCTTCTTTCTATTTGTCGTCCGTTTTCCCTTTATTGCACTTACTTAATAATTCTCCCTCTACAGTTTTGTTTGTTTATTTTTTATTCTTCACTCCCTATAAAACAAAGATCTTGATTTTATCGAAGAAAGCCACTCGAGTTATTTTTAGAAATATGAGATTTGGGGGAAAGTAATTTTTTTTTTTAATATTTTTGTTTGAGTGCATCCGATTAATATTGTTATTGCATTATTATTACTTTCTTCTTACAGCAATTTCATTCTTTCTGGCTTTGAGAGAAATAAGAAAAAAAAAAAAAAACAGAAAAAAAATTTAAAGAATTCTTCCTAAATTTTCCTTCTTTATTCATTCACGCTTTTTTTTTTATTTATTTTTTTTCAGTATATTATTTTTCCCTCCACTTGATCTTTCTTTTTCCTTTGTGTTCATGTATTCTTTTATAAAAAGAAAGACTGGCTTATAGTCCTTTCTGCTAATAGATTTCTTTATCTTTCTTTAAACAATGTTGGTTTGCTTTCATAATTGTATATTAATTTCTTTTATTTTATCTTGTTAATTGATATCTCCATCTTTTTTTTCCCTTCATACCAAGTTCTGAAGAGGAAGCAAAGCAGAAAGAGGATTTTTTTTTCCGTTTTTCTTCTCATTCATTCTTTCTTACCTTTATTTCCCATCTGAATCAACACTTTTCCATTTACTTTCATTCTACTCTTTTTTGCCTGGAATATGCCAGCGAGAACGTTAAAATCAAACTGAAACTTTTCCTTCATTAATTTTCTTTGTCATTTTTCTTTTTTTTTTTCCATCTTTCTTTATGCTTATTCTGCATTTTTTAAATTTCTTTGTTGTTCCTTTTCATCAATGAAAGGTGCCTCAAGAACTCAACACCCACCCAGTGTACATGAATCTACCTTCCACTAATTTTTATACCCACTGGTCTTCAATCATCCTCTATATTATTTCAAGAACATTTTTATTTATATATATATATATATATATATATATATATATATATATATATATATATATATAGAGAGAGAGAGAGAGAGAGAGATTAAAAACTGCAAAGGCATCCTAAAATATTATTATTTACCCCTACCCTGCAAGCTTATGTCTTATCAGCAAATGGCAGAGATGCTGCTACCACAGCCACCAATATCTTGCTGCTGACATGAGTAACATTTCAGGGGTTTGTTGGCTGGGGACATGATGTTTGAAAGTGGGATGATGTAGCTATTTCAGGAGGTAGGGAATTATGTTTGTGCTTGGACTTTGTCTTTCAATTCTCAATCCACAGTTGAGATGATTAGGGATGGGAAGAGAGAGAGAGAGAGAAAGAAGAGGACAGAACAAAAATAAAGGGGAATTAATAAAAAGGAACAGAAAAAAGCAAGGAGGAGAAAAGTGGTGGGAGGAGATTTTATTATTATCATTTTTTTTTAATTTTTTTTGTATACCTGTATAACAATATTTTATTTTTTTTTCTTTGAAAACTGTCCTACATTTGGGTTTTAAATAATTTGCCTAAATTGCATTGTTTCCTTCTGTCATGTATTTTTAACCTTTTTTTGTTATTTTTACATTCATTTGTTTACCTGATTTACCTCCATTTTCCTTATATATTTTTTCTTATTTTTCTCTTTCACCTGTTAAATCTTTCATTTTTCCTTGTTCTCAGTCATTACTTTCTTCCAGTTTTTATCTACTTCTCTTACTCCATTTTTCTCACTTTATCATTCCCCCCTCTCCCCACCCTCTATTTTTCATTCTTTCTTTGTCTCTTTAATTTTTTCTTGCTTTTCTATTTCATTTTCCAATTCCATTGTAATCTTTCTTCCTTTAATAATAGCTTTCATTTTCCCTTCTCTATCTTTTTTTTTCTATCCAATGAACGTGTATAAATGGATGACAAAACAGGAAGCAGGAGTGATAGTAAACAGACAGACATTGCTATGAACTGCAAAGGATAAGACGTTGTGGAGAGCCATAAATCACCCATGTCCTGAAGAGAAATGTCACATAGAAGAATGTTTGTTATCAGCCAATTTTTTTTCCACCATTTCCACTTTCATTAAAAATTAAATTCTTTTGTTTTATTTCTTATTTTCCTTCTATGAATGTCATGTTCCCCACCTCTATTTCCTTATTGCTTTTATTTTCTACAGTTTTTGACCACAAATATTTAAGGATTTCTATTTTTCCTTTTATAGTTCCTAAACTTTTACTTACTTTCTTCCCTGCTTTGTATACTCATTTCTCTATCATCTTTTTCCTCTTATAGATATTAATGTCTTTTTTTTCTTTTGAGTTCCATTTTTTTTTATTTTTTTTTTATTTCTTTTCTCCTTTACCATTTCTTTATTTCATTCCTTCCTTTCAATCCTATATTTCTATCACTTTTCTGTTCATTTCATCCTTCTTTTTTCCTCTTTCCAAACTCAACTTCCTGTTCAATTTTGTTTTTTAATTTCTTCCTTCCTTTCCCCATTTCAAATACTTTTTTTTCTCTTCCTTTCTATCATCTTCCTTTCCCCCAACTTCATTATGTCTCCTTTCAACCTCTCTTCTTTAATTCCTTGCCATCTTTCTTTTCACACTTTCTAAACTCAGCTTTTATCTTCACTCTCTTCCTTGTTCCAATTTCTTTTCTTTCTTTCTGCCATCCTTCATTTTTAACTTATTTCAAACTCTTCCACCTCCTTCTTAAATCTTTATTTCTTTCTTTCTTTCCATTTAGATTTCTCTTCATCATGTACCTATTTATAACACCATTCCCCAAAACATCCACCTTGCTCTTCATCCACAAACCAATTACACAACACATATGTCTTTGTGCATTTCGATAATGCTCTTACCAAAACCTTTGGGAGATGGAATACCAATGTCCCAAGAATAGACCTCAGTTTAGCATTTTTTTTAATCTTTCTTCTTTCCAACACATCTCTCAAGTTTACTTGTGCTATAAACAGTACATGACAAAGATGTTTATGGCTTAAAACTTTTCTTGCATGCAGAAATCTTAAGTTAAACAATTATTATTATTATTATTATATATAAAAGAGATGTATTCTGTCAGCAATGTTAGCAGGAATTTCTGACCTCAGAAAATCCATTTCTTTCGGCCTTCAATTCATTTCTATTCTAAAACTATTTACAAAACATTTCTATGGTTAAAATATTTGTAATGGTATTTATATTAAAATCATGAGAAAAGTATTTTATTTACATTATTCGGACTGTTATCCTCATCTTCATTGCCATATTCACAACATTTTGGCCATTGCACACTCCGGCCTTCTTCAGGTAATTGGAATTTTGAACCAAGCCATTTATTTCGTCCACTGGGGTAGATTGTTCTAGTTCCATATGCCATGCCTCTCCCAGATGTCTCAGTTATTTCCCTTTCACTCAACTCTCCAAGTTTTGGTTCATCATTGCTGTAGCCAGATATTGAACTCACAACTCTTTGGGTCTAGTCACTGGATCTAACCAATGCCTTTATCCACTGTGGATAAAGGCATTGGTTAGGTCCCAGTGGATAATAATTTCCATTGGGGAATAACTGAGAAGAGGCATGGTATGTGGAAGTAGAACAATCTACCCCTGGTAGAGGAAATAAAGGGTTCAATTTGAAATTACAATCAACTGAAGAATGGCAGAGTGTACAACAGCTGAAACATTGTGAATATGGCAATGAAGATGAGGATAACAGTCCAAATAATATAAGTAATCATAATACCTCATCTCAGAGATATAGACAGAAAAAGCATTTTATATTCTACATATAATAGCCATATTTAGTCAAGAATGCTGGCCTTTACTACTGCGTACTGATAATCTGTTTTCTCGTAGCTGTCTATCTTAAAATCATAATTCATAAAATCAAATAAAATCATCAGCAGGGCATTTCTATCATACATAAACTCTTGAGTTTCAAATAGACAGGATATTTGAAATAAAAGGGGTGGTTGGAATTTTCTCATATTTTTCAGGAGTGAAACATTTTGTATTAGAATGGCACACAGTGTAAATTAAGGTGAAGGAGAAATCTTCCTAATATCTAATGCAAGGAGTGTTTTGAAATAATGATGTACCCAGTGGTTTATCTATGAAACAATAATCACCTGAAGTTGTCAATTTAAAACTTCTGAGTAACATACTGATGCTGTCAGCAACACTTGTTTCAAGGGAAATTATATTCACAATCAAAAAGACAAAATTTTATTGAACATGAGGAAAGAAGGTCTGGAGAATTTAACACTTGCAGGATGAAGGTGAGAGAAGCATGAGGGATCAGCAAGTAATATAGTTGACAAGTCTGAATGAATGTGTAACAGAATAAAATCAAAAGAGAATAAGTAAAAGGGCAAGAGTTCTATTCAGCACAAAAGACAGAAAACAGAAACATCTTGAAAGAATCATGACATACAAAAGAATACTTGCTGCAATTCCTGACAACAAACACTTGTGTTCTTCCAGATTTTCAGTAACAATGTTTTTTCGTTTTTTCAATCAAGTTCACCCCAAGCAAGGCAGTAAAGCCACTAAGATTTATATTTTTCATTTTGAAGATGTCTGTTACTTATTTTTTATTTTGTCAACTGCACATTATAGTAGGGTCAGTTGGGCACCGTCTGTGAGAAAAAGAGCACCATGATGTAATTCGCTCCACCAAAAATTTGGAAATGGCACACTGTACTGCTTGGTATTCATGCTGGAAGCTCCAATATGAACATTTCAGAGGGTTTAAGTGTCAATCTGAGGATGGTGCAGAGAATTTGGAAAGAGTTGGAAGAGTCTAATGGTGATTACAAAGATGTTTGGAGTGATCACTAGTGATGGCGACATTATGCCTCTATTCATCTTTTCACAGTCCCTCAGACTCAACATGGAGGCTTACATCAAGTGACTTCAGGAGATAGTGCTGCTCTGGGTTAAGAAAGTGGCTGCTGGAAGATATATGTCTGGCAACAGGACTCTGCACCATGCCAAACAAGCAGGAGAATCCACTCATAGCTGTCAGACAATTTCTGTGATCACATCACACCTTCTATCTGGCGAACTAACTTCCCACACTGCAACCCTTTTGGTTATTATGTGTAGGGTGCAGTTACACAAGAGACTAATAAAACTCTTTATAACACTAAAGATGAACTGAAGGCAAAGATTATGGCAATATTCATTCAAGGTGACCATCCAGAAGAGTTGCAGAAGATTATGAAGTCATCTGGAGAACATGGTTGAAACCAATGGTGATTTTATTGAATATATTTACTCTCTTGTATTTCAAGATATTTTTGTGTAATTTTGGTAAACATATGTTAAAATGAGATGTCAGCGTTGTTTTAATTTTTGCATAATTTAGACAACAATTTATCCATTGCATCCTCTCTGTGTGTGCATATATATATATATATATATATATATATATAAAGCACCTCTTTTTGTGTGTGACACTGACAATACCTTAATTCATAATTTTTCAAGGCTCAAAAAGAAGACTGAATGTTTAAGTTTACTGAAACAAATTTACATTATAGAAGAGCTCTACTCTCTCAACAGTGCTTGCCACTTTCCTTCGTTCTCATTTTATTTCTATGGAAAAAGTATTAGCAAGGCATTTAGATTATATATAAAAGCCCTATTCTATCAATGATCCTTATATTAAATCCTGACCACTAACAATTTTAAATGCATTTCTCTATTAAAACATAAGCCATACATATTCATATTCTACATGAACTATCTCTAATCTCTTAGAAGTGCATGTATTAATTTTAGACTAATGACAATCACGTTCTTCCTAATTTTAAATGCATTTCTATAGTAAAATCCATTTACAATCCCATTCTCTAGTAAAACATTAGCTATGCATTTTACTTTACACATATAGTAACTCTATTCTTTCAACAGTATTTTTATCAGTTCCTAACTACTGACAATTTTTGTTCTTTCTGATCTTAAATGCATTTCAATAGTAAAATCATTTGCAATGCATTTACATTATTCTTATAACAGCTTTACTTTGTAATGCTATCTTTAATCCCTGATAAGTGATAACCCATTTCTTCTGGATTTTCAATGCATTTCTCTAGTAAAATTATTTATAAAAGTTTCCAACAGTAAAAAATATACAGCAACAAGATTGAGTGCTGAAGTTTACTGAAACATATTTTAGGCAAAAATATAACAAAATCCAGTTGTTAAATAATCAAATTCCAAGTACAAGTATGTTTCAGTAAATTCCCTACATTCTTAGATTTGTGTATGACGTTGACCTTCTTGTACCAAAACCAACTTCCCAACTGAATTATTACAAATGCTTCTGCAAGAATGGTCATGTTCTACTCTTTGTGTCTTCTCAGCTTGTCTTTGAACAAGAATATAAACCTTTTGAATTATTAATGTTATCTTTATGATATCCATTCATATGCTAAACATGACTGATATGATGGCATTTGCTTCATTTCCTGGTACACTTTAACTGCTTACTCTATCTAATCATTAGAGTGAATCAAAGTTCTGGCACATTTATGAAACAAAACCTACCTGTGCTATCACAAGCTACATATCAAACTATCTTCATATATATCCATATACCTATATCAAAAGTTACATATTTTGTTATCTATAACAATCAATATCTATGCATATGGCAATGCTTTGTATTCAAGGTAAACTTTTCTTATGGTTTAAAGATAACACAAAGCCTCAAATTCTATATACACTGCTGGGTCAGTAACATTACTGCATTAAAATAATTGGGCAGAAAGTTATAGTGACTCCATTTTTATTAAAATATTGACTTTATCAGTTCAAGACTGTCAAATGTTTGAGAATAAAAAGAACCATAAAAAACAGCTAGGTAGGTGATCATATATATTATAAATGTTAAATAATAGGTTAGCAGAGTATTATTTTTTTCAGACAAGTGTATTTCTGCTCTAATTACCTTCATTTGACCTTTGAGGTCAGATAAAAGACAAAACAAAAGAAGTTGATTTTGATAGGCTTAACTAGTGTGGGAATGTTAGACAGCCAAAAGTTTCTTGGGGAGTCACATCTAAACTCTAATACAATGTGAATGCGTTTCCTTCATGCCTGGGAAGTGGCTTCCCAGTGGGGTAAGAGAGCAGCCCCATTGGCTAGTTAGAGAGGTATACATCAATGTAAATAAAACAGTTAAGTTTAAAATTCCATTTGTTGAAGTTATTTCAACTCTGGGCCCTAAACCTTTCCATTACTCAGCCAGAAGAAGACAAGAGAAGATCCAACATTATATATATATATATATATATATATATATATATATATATTCAGGTAAGATGTGAATGAATAGAGTACAATTCCAATGTCTGTCTATATTTCTATAAATAATGTACAATTCCAATGTTTGTAACATTTAAATAAGGGTTCAATACAAAGTAGAGCAATATTTATTTTAGGATATTACTCTGAAAACATATCAAAATTGCTACACAATTGCAGTTGTGTCTCAATATGTATCAATGCATCTCATTTGATAATTGTAAATTACTAGCAAGTGAACAATTTATTTCGATTTAAAAGCAAAATATCACCTATTACAAGAAAAAAAATCCCCTCTTTTTTGTATCCTTTATGAGGAAAGCCTCACCTTTCTTGTGCCAAATCTTCTGTACATCATTATGTCCAAAAATCTCCATTTTTGTTTCATCCCTCCATAGTACTTGTTCCCAAAAGCAATTTTTTTGTCCAAGAACGTTTTGGCAAAATTAAACCAAGCAACAATGTGACATGGTTTGTGAAGAGAGGTGTGTTGTGATCAGTTTCCATACAACCTATTTCTATTTAAACAACATTGTGC